CATTGTGACCAAGAGAAGAATAGAACAGACCCTGTCGGACATTAATGCGAAGCAACTATCCGCTCTATGGGACCAACTCACTGCCTTACCGTCACAGAAACTTGCAAGCATTCTTCATCTTCAGTCACTGATGGTCACTGCCTCAGCCACCTGGCTCCGCTCCAAAGGCATGGACATCGATACCTCATGTTCTAGGTGTCAATGGGCCTGGGAAACCTCGAATCACATCTGGTACTCATGTCCCTTATCAATGAGGGTTTGGGCTTGGTGGAAAGCACACTCGAAAAACATCACAAGAGACACTATGCCGTGGGACGAAGGATGGACATTGAATGGCATCCTCCCAACGGGCCTATCCCCTCATGCTGGTTGGGGCTACGTGGCACAGGCCATCAGGGCCATCATTATGGGCGCCCTGTGTGATAAGTTAGTCGAAAACCACCACAAGTCACTACCAGACATCATATCACATATAAAGACCCAGATCAGATTCACAATCATCGCCGATTGGAGAAGGAAAACAGCAAGAGGTTGCAACATACAGAAAGTGAAATTGTTATGGAGTACCTGGGGTAATAGATCACAGCTAGTCTCGCTCAGCTCCAAAGGGGAACTACAATTTAACGACTGGCTTAACTCTTTAACTTGGCAGCATTTGGTGATACCCGTACCCGAATGGGACGCTGGACCCGGTTTCCAGCATACAGTAGCCTTTTGCAAAAATGGGACGCTGGACCCGGTTTCCAGCTAGCTTGAACATAGAGATTAGACAGCTATTAGACCCTTTTGTCACCTTTCTTACTTTTTTTTACTTTATTGTCCAGCTTCTCCTTTTTTTGGTTAACCAGTTAGCAGATGTGGGACGCTGGACCTGGTTTCCAGCATTGGCCAACTGAGTAATGGCCCCAACTCTCGTTCCCGGGTTGTATTGTGGAGGGATTCCCGGCCTCCTGTTCAAAGATTATAATGAAATCTGCTTCTGGTGAAAAAAAAAAAAAAATGAAAAAAAAAAAAGAGTACCCTGACCGACATCATTGCATTACAGAAACCCTTTTTTTCTTTTCTTTACCCTTTTCCTTTTATGCGGGGCAAAAGAAAACTAAGGGTAGGACCCCACAGGATGGCGACAAACGGTTTCGGAAGTCTTCTACTTGCAGCCGATGATGAAACAGAGGGGACCCCACCGCCACCACGAAATGTTGCTTTTGCTTCGGCGGCGGTCACCCAAAAAGGAAATTCCAGGGCAGTTTACCTTTTTGGGAAAGGTCGGGGCTTGGAAGGCCATTCCAGGTCCCTTGCCATTGGTTGTAATGGAAGGGCTGCGACACCGTCCGCATGTGCCGGAGTACACACCCGGGAGGTAGGTAAGACCGACTTTTGGAAAACGGAAATTCAGGGCGACGTAGGAATAAGGAGGCCGCGGACCAAGTGGAAATGGTCGGCCGATGACTTCTGCGGTGGCAAAATCCGTATGTGGGGTCTCGGAAGTTGCCTCAAACCTTCCGAAACCGTTTGCTGCCGTCCTGTAGGGTCCTACCCTAAGATTCATGCTCAACCCGTCTCTTGATGAGATCAAGGTCAAGTGGCTGAAGGAACGTTGTGACGCCCAAACCTCACGCCCAGCGCGACTTCCTGATCGGAGTAGGATGTGGGCCTGGAAGTGCGAAAAGGGGTGTGCCAAGGATTTTCGGGAAAGTGGGGGAGTCTTAAGGGTATGGATGCAATTGGGCGAATAAGGGGTGCGTGCGCAGGGACTCAAGGCCCGATGGGGCCGGGGTAATGTGGGCGACGGTTTGCGGGGAAGTCCCTCCGCGGCGGAGGCGGTCTCGAAAAGTTGGGCCTTCGGGGGCCGCCACGTGGTGCAGGCCGCTGCGTATTTGGGTTGGGCCTTTGGAATTCCGGGGTTCTCCGGTCACCGCTACGTCGGCAATTCCCGCAGGGCGTGCTGGGCCAATAGGGGGCTATGGCCGGCCACGGAACGACGCTGAGTTGATGATACGGGAGAAGAAGGCGAAAAGAAGGGAAACTGGTGGTGATGACGACAAATCCCGGGTGGATGAAATAGTAGGTATGGTCGGGGGAAGGGAAATCAGAGCACCGGGGGTCGCTAGAGGTGGCACAGTGGAATTCCCCCGGACATAGTCGATTCTCCGTGTGACAGGGGTATCGCAGCCTTAGGAGTTCGTTTATCCAAGGGGTGAAGTACTCCGGGTCGTAGGATGACTCTGAGCTCCAAGATCGCGTCATGGTGTCATCGTGTACGGGATAGTTGTGGTCGGGTTATCGTCACCACGCACGAGCACGTGTAGGACAGGCGAACTTAGTTACGCCTCAGCGTGCTCGTACGGGATGATGGTTTCGCCGCGAATCTTTTTTTGGAAGGACGGATCGACGCACGGGGATGTGTGTAAACGCGCGATTCGGATCGTGTTTACACGGGTCCTCGCGCGGCGTTCGCAGGGCTCGAGTGTCTAATGGCTCCGTAGGTTCGATTATGCGAGATGCGACCACACCATAATCTAAGCAACAACGAGAACAAAATCACTATCGGGGCAAAGTTCTTATCCCCTCTACAACTGTATCAGGTGCGGGCGAAGATTCGACACAAACAAAAGCAAGGACAAGGATTTTCAGCCAAAGATAGACAAACAGGCCTTGCATCCATACATCCATACATTCAGTAATCATACATATAATGCAATCGAGATGGAAATCGCAAAGATAAGTGTGAGCAAAAACCCAAGTCCAAATTCCAGAAAGCCAAGACGAAAACAAGAACGGGCGACCGCCCGGAGCCGCAATCAAAATGTATGTACACAGATGAAGAGGGGGAAGAGACAAAGAAACAGCAAATCCGTGTCCATCGACCTGAACTCTCTCTCCTCTTCTCTCTCTTCTCCGATGCGGACAGTCCGTCGTCACGCACCAACCCACAAAGTCGTCACCCCGCTTAGTCCTCCTGCACCCGTCGGATTCGCCCGTGCCCATAGTCCGTCGTGGCCCACGTCAATCCCGCGCGTTCGGCACCAGCCCGTCGGGTCGCCCAACTCCTACTCTACTCACCTCTTTCTTCGCTCGTGTGCTGACCATTCCTGATCGCGCAACCCCGAGCTTCCAACAACGGGTTAAGAGAGCTAACTAATCGCGCAGCCGGAATTTATAGCGTGCATGCATGCGAGAAGAGCACGAAATTACCAAGACTTAGAGGGGAGATTAGAGAGGGAGTGGCTACGTTCTGCATGACCGGGCTACGGTGTGGGGGACGTAGCCACTCTCCACGCATTGATCTGAGCATGCAGTCCGTAGTTTCAAAAACGCGGCAAAAGAAAGAGAAAGAGGGCGGGAAGGACGAAAAGCAAGAAGAAAGATACAGTTACAATGGCGCCAACCCAAGATTACAGTAACACACCCGATTAAAGGCGCCGACTAATTTGAATTCCGTTGCAGCTGCAAAAAGAAGCGCGTAAGCAAATAAGGGTGCCGCGCGGCAAGAGAAAGTCCTAATTACAAAATTCCTAAATTCCAAACTAATGCTAAAAGCAAAAGTACAGGTTCCGGGAGGCAAATCTGAAATTCCGAGAGCCATCAGGGCTCGACAAAATTCGAAAAAAGGATTTGAAAGAAAAATTCAAAAAGAACCGTGCAAATTCCCGCACGATGTCGGCGCCCAAAAGATCGAAAACGAAGCGAAAGAAACGACGTCAACATTTATTAATCGCGTGCGCGGAGGCGCGCCAGCCATCCAGCCGACCAATCAATCAACCGACCATCCTAGGACACGCCTAGCTCCGAACCCAGCCAAAGAAGTGACGGAAAAGACGAAAAAGCAAGGACACTGATGCAATTTCCAACCGATCCCGATCTCTCGTAATTTGCCCAACCTTCCCAACTTAGGACCCCTTATTGCAACCGCGCAGAAAATCGCGCGTTACCGAAAGTGGTTCGTCACATATGTGACGCCCAGGGGGTTCCAGAATTAGTAAGCTCCTGCTTGCTTGTGACACGTGTCAATTTCTCTGATCGACCGACACGCGGAGCATCTCTCTCTATGCCATTTACCATTAAAGTGAGTGTGGACGTCGTCCAACGTGGCAGCACTGCTCTTCTACTACTTCCTCAGGGTAGGCCTTCGAAATTCCAAGGAGGGAGATTACACGTGCTGCCGTTATGACACGTGTCCATTAGCCATACATCAGTGCAGCAAGAGGGTAGACCCTAGACCCTAGACCGTCCCGGGGAATGGCAGCCGAATCACTGAAGGTGGAGGTGGCGGATGGTTAAGAGGAAGAGGGGGCATGAATCGATTGATGGCGGGAGAGGCGAAATCAGGAAGGGTAGCGTAATGGAAGGAGCGATGGATGAGGGGGAAACGAGGAACCTCATGGAGGTGGCGAAAAGCGGCGATGTAGTCGGGGTAAATGGTGGACAGGGTCCGTCGCAGAGCGGTGCAAAAATCTTCGTAGTTTTCGCAGGCGGGAATAGTTCCAGATATAATACAATATATTTCTACGTGGTTATATTNAATATATTTCTACGTGGTTATATTCCCGCCAGTCTGCGCTAAACAGGAGCACGTGAAGGAGAAAGGAATCAACCACAAAATGGGTGGTGGCATGCGGGTAAACATAGATAGAAGGCGGGTAGTGTAGAGATGGTAGAAAAGGTGGTGGGGGAAAGGACACCAACCATCGGGGAATGGGGGTCTATCGGGAAGACGGGTAAGCATGAGGTAATCATGGGGTCGGCGAGAGAACGACCGGGGACGAAGCCTGAACGTCGAGATCTTGATGTAAAGGAATGGAGGATTGGGACGGGGAGCCGGAGGGAACTGGCGATTCACTTCTTCTTCTTCTGCTTCATGATCCCTCCGCTCTGGTTCCATCGTCCTCTTCTTCTGGCGGCTCTAGATCACGCCATGGGTCCACGATCGAGGGATCGTTTGTAGCAGGTCGCTTTCCCTCCACGGTCTCCTGGCGCTTTCGCTTTCTGTGCTCTTGCGCTCTTTTTCGAGCCGCGTCGCGCACTTCAGCCTCGAATCCGTCGAACTCTGACTCCGCTTGCTCTTTTCCTTCTTCTTCTTCCTCGTCCCGCGGTTAGCTCGATTCGTCGGCTATCCCTGCTTCGATTTCCGGTACGTAGTCTGGATCGTCTCGTTCTTCGCTCGATGGCTCTTCCTCTTCCTCCTCTTTGTCTTCTCCCCCTATCTCCTCATCATGCGCTGCGTTTTGCCTCGCAATCGGGTCCCAAAACGTGAGATCGGTAACGTCGATCTCCACGTAGAGCGCCTGGGAAGAATAGAGACAGTTGTCCTCGTCAATCTCCGTACACGTGGACCACACAAGGTGCGGCTCGAGCGTTCGAGACAATACGTGGGTGCCAGGCTGCTTGTCACTGTGCGACAAGATGTCCAAGGGTAGATCGTCCACCAATAGAGTCAGAAACACCAGCAATTCGTTCGTGATCAAGGCGAGATTACCTTCCTCCACCTTTCCGAATACGATTCCCAGCAGGTCACCTTGCTCCGTCATTCTCCAGGCTTGGATGATCAGAAGCTCCACGCTGTCCTCTGGGTGCTCTGGACCTTCTCCGAACGGGGCCGCTTCTGACCAACGGAACTCTATCTCCAATAGACAGAGAGCGAGCTCGATATAGTCTTCCCACCACGCATTCCTCTTTTCCTCGCTCAATAGAGGCGCACTGTTCTCCTTAACATGGTAGGAGAGAGTAGGAGCCCGCGCAAATTCCCAAAGGGTGGGGATGCTGGAGGGGAGGCCGAAGTAGGAGACGCGACGATGACTCATTGGGGCGGCGCGAAGGGATGAAGCTCCGGGAGCGCGACCGTTGGCGAGCTTCGAGACGAGCGAAGCTGGAGGTCCGTGTCGTGCGCCGGCACGATGGTGTCTCCTCACCGAGCCAGGAGATCGGTCCACGCTGTCCGCACTTCCCCAACCCAGATGCACAACGTCCCATAGATGTCGGAGTGAATCTCCAACAGTATCGCGGTGATGTCTCCTGTAAAGACGACGACGACGGCGATATGGCTAATCCAGGGAGGGGATAGCCGTCGAAAGGCCGAGATCTCGGCCAGAACGCGCGTAGTTGCCTCTTCCGTGAATCGGAACTCTGCCGCTGCGTAGATCGTCGACGTACTGAAGAAAGTTGCAAACCGGACAAGATCAGAGTAGAGATGGGGTCGTTGCACCTGCCGTATGACGCTGATTCGCCCCCGCGGAGTAAGAAGCCGCGCGCCGATCACTTGCTCCGTTGCAAAGCTCATTGCGATGGTGACGGGGTAAGAGAGAGAGAATAGGAAGGAGACGGAGAGGTAGGAGAGAAGTAGTCGTCGCCTTCCTCCGCAGTGGAGGAGGAATCGGGTGAATGCGAAGATGGAAAGAGAGGAAGGAGATGGAGGTAGGACACGTGGTGGATGATCGGGCGAGCCGATCGGCTGCCGGAGACCTCTGGCGCAAGGCGCACGGTGTTCACGCCGTTCTGTCCGAGTTCGATTATGCGAAATCGCCCGAAGAATCGTTGTGCTAGCTTACCCTGGCGAGCACATTTCCTCACCTGCACGATGTCCCCCAATTTGTACTGGGGCCATGGTCCTGCGTTCCCATTCCGGGCCTCATAGCTTCGGACCTGTCGGCCTCGGGCCAATTCGGTCATCATGTGCCGTTTTCGGGCTAGCCTGGGCAAGGACCGTTCCATTAGTTCCAAGTGTCGTTTGGCCTTCTCCCGAGCCATGGCCCTGGTGGGTCGTCGGTTCAGTGTGGATTCATCCGGTAGGCTTGGTATCGAAACGCAAGCGTCGCTATTGGTCCTCAATTGGAAGGGGCTTAGCCTCGTCGATTCATGAGGTGTACCGCGATGGACCTCTAGGATGTGGTCGACGATATCGGGCTAGGGCCTCGGATCTCGTGCCGCGATATTCTGCCACAATGCCGTCATTATCACCCTGTTCGCGTTTTCCATCAGCCTATTGGATTGCGACATGTGGGGTGCAGTATTCCGTATGGCGACGCCATGTAAGACCAGATTCCTGAGCACTTCTCCCCTGAATTCAGCCCCATTGTCGGTCAGGATCCCTTCCGTATCCTGGTGCATCCCGAGAAAGCGGTTGACGTATCGCGCGATTTCGGCGGCTTGTCGCGTGCGACAAGGGTAGGCTTCAATCCATTTCGAAAAATGGTCGACAAATACCAATAGGACTGAATACTCGCAACTATTAGGACCAGGGGGCACTACTATGTCGAAAGTGTCCATACTGACTCTTTGAAATGGCCGTTCAACTACCGTTGGCACTATCGATCTTGGCGGCTGAAATTGGACCAGTACCACTCATTTTTGTCGATAGCCGATTCTGTGATCCGTACGGCGAAATGAGCCGCAGTTTCTTCATGTGCCGTCTTAACCCAGTCATACCTCGTGAACGGATGTGGTACAACCATCCAAATCCCACCGCCGTTAGTTTTTCGTTTTTCTAATCTGCCCTCTATCCATCTGTAATCGCGAGCCCTCTTGTTGACCCTCCTCCGATCCTCCTTGGTGAAATCTGGGAGGGGGTTGCCAACCAGGGTGGCAATCAAGGCGATATCAGTCCATGCTTCGGCCCTTCTAAACCTTCGGGTCTTTTCCAACCCTTCTGACGTGGCATCCAAAAAGTGAGCCTCGGTCGGGATCTTGTCGGTCTGACACAAGGGGCATAACCATGATTTACTAACGTTTCTGTATTGGATGCAAGAGCCGTGGGCTCGTGCAACACACTGTCGGCAATCTATCCAATCAACATACCCTTCCCCGTTAGGACGCATGGAGACCGAGTATACGCGGGAGATAGCTTCGCAAAAATARCAAAATTTGTCAGGCAGGGAGAGGAGAGACGAGGAGGAAAGGGGAGAGAGAGGGGTAGTGGGGTTACCTCCGTCATCCATTGCCACCGTTCTGCTTCTTGCCACACAGGAGAACTGCCACTTGTCCGTACTTAGGCTCGTTTGTCAAGTCCGGCTCCTTCCACGGTGTAATTTCCTCGCCCTTTGGTACCTTGGCAGGTCGATGCAGACGTGTTAGTCCGTCCACGTTGCCGTGTCGCTCCGTCTTTCGATGGACGATATCGAAGTCGTATTCTTGCAGTCGCACCGCCCAACGGCCAATCATGCCCGTGTAGTTGGTGAGCTTCTTCAAAGCTAGTAGAGGCTCGTGATCCGTCACGAGGCGAAGCTTCTGTCCGTAGAGATACGGATGGAAGTGCTGGATTCCCCAGACCACTGCATAGCATTCGTCTTGAGGTGCTGAGTCATTCCTCCGTTCGTCCGGTACCGTGCGTGACGCGTATTCGATGACGTGTTCACGACCATTGTTCCCCTTCTGCGCTAAAATAGCGGAGATAGCTTCCGGTTCCCAGTCCGTGATGAGAATGAACTGTTTCGAGGGGTCCGGCCGAATCAAAATAGGGGTCGTCGCCAGAGCGTCCTTGAGGGTTGCGAAAGCCTGTTGGAACTCCGCGTCCCAGCTGAGAGGCTGGTCCTTCCTTAGCAGGTTCGTTAGTGGTCGTGCAATCGCGGCGAAACCCTTGATGAAGCGACGATAGTACGATGCCAACCCTAAGAAGGCTCGAACCTGTGCCAGCGACGTGGGAACAAAGGGTTCTCTTACCGCCGCAACCTTTCTTGAGTCTGGCCGCAGTCCTCCACGTGTCACGACATAGGCCTAGAACGAAATTTCCGAAACGAAAAATTCGCTCTTTTCAAACGCGATCTTGAACCCAGCGTCTCTCAGCGCTCCCAATGTCCACTCGATGTGTTGCGCGTGCCCGTGATAGGTCTCTGAGTAGACAAGGATATCGTCCATGTATACGATCACGCAGAAGTTGATCATCCCCTGTGTCAGCCGCGTCTTGTTGACGAAGTTCTGGAATGTCATGTTCATCGCTCGCTGAAACGTGGCAGGCGCATTGCAAATCTCCATTGGACACCGAACCCACTGCCACGTGCCTTCAAACAACACGAAGGTCATCTTCGGCCGATCTTTCTCCTTCACCAGAATGTGATGGAAGCCATGCCGAACATCAAACTTGCTGAAATATTCAGTGTAGCCAATCGCATCCAACAAATCATCAATTCGGGGAAGGGGTACACATCTTTGATCGTGATCTCATTCAGCTTGCGATAATCGATGCATATGCGGATTGATCCGTTTTTCTTTGGTACTAGTACGACGAGAAATGACCATGGTCCGGTGGCGGGTTCAATCCATCTGCAGGCTTCAAATTCTCGAATTTGCTCGAGGGCCTTTTTGCGTTCTATCAGGGAGTATCAGTACGGTTTACAATGGATCGGGGAGTGATTTCCCGTCTGTATCTCGTGTTGAATAACTAGCGACAGGCCAATGTTAGTGTCTGTCACGCTAATCGCTCCCCGATATTCCGTCAAAATGTCTGCAATCACCCGATGAATTTCATCGGGTGCGTACTGTGGCACGTGTAACTCAAAAAGTTGATCCCAGATCCGTACATCTATCTGTTTTGTTAGTGCAGGTTTTGCCACATCGGACGGGGGTGCAGAAATGAAGGAGTGATCCGATCGCCAGGTGAACACCGTGGCCATCATCTGGGCGTCTTCTTCCCCGATTGCCATGTGTCCTTCCGGGGTAATCCCGTCACAAATATCTTGCCATGGCACGTTCTTGGTTGCGATCTTTATCCCCAATTCGTCCGTTTCTGCTTCGAGATGCCCAGGGGGTTCCAAAAAACTTGCTTCCACCCCTAAGCGTAACCATTGCACTTCTTTGACAGGTGTCAAAAGGGACCTTGGTAGATCTGTAATGTCGCAGTAGTGCTTTTTGTCGCTGTATCGGAAGAGAAGCGGGGTGATCCCTTCGTACAAGGTTTGAGGGGGTTCCAAAGAATCGACCATCCTCGAAATCTGCACGAGGGGTTCACCCAAGATCATCGCCTTGGTCCTTTGGACGTTCCTACTGGTCAGATGCATCGTTTTTGCTATCGTTCTGGGTGGCGGGTAGTAAACACACTGTCGTGCTAGCTTCGAGATCTCCAGGTCATCCTCATCACTGCTGTCCGCATCATTCGTCGATGACTTTCCATCTTCGGATTCACCCTAGGAGATCATGCGAAGAGTCCCTGCCATCATCGACGAAACCCGTGGGACTGCGTTGATGGTGGTACGAAGGTTTAGTCTCATAGGCACCACATAGGGCTTTCCTCCTGTATTTCGGAGGACGATCGATCGTCGTTCGAAATCCAGGTTTGCTCGTAGCGCCACTAGAGCAGGAAGTCCGAAAAGAACGTCGTAGGTATTCACATCTAGCACGACAACATCTCCCAATGCATGCACCTTTCCTAGTCGAAAGGCGACATTGGTCATTCTTCCCACTGTTTTAATTTATTCTTCGTCAGCCGAATCGAGCTGATCTTTCTCGGAAAGCATGATCAGATAGTTTTTCCTACCTGCCTTTTCGACCACTCTCAGCAAGATAGCCAAAACAGCGGCTCCCGAGTCGATGATTGCATTGTACAGAATTCCCCATATTTCAATATCGCATTCCGCAGATTTCCACGGGATGGGTTTAATCCGTAGGAAATGATCATCTTTTTGTATTAATCCTACCCGTATTGGATCCGACAAGCCCGCCATATTTTCTTCTTGCGAGGGACTTTTGGCCTTTACGTTCGGTGTTCGAGCGAGGGCGAGTCGTTTTCGATTCGCCTTGCAGTGCTATAGCATTCACTCATTAGCTTGTTTCGAGATCAAAAGCAAATCACCGATCGGGAGCAGAATCCGATGGTCCAGGGCTCGAACGATGTTAAGCACATCGATTTCCCCGGTGACGAAGGTGGGTCCTCCCGACTCCATCTCTCCTGGAGAAGGTCGCCACTCCGCCACCTCTTTCTGTTCTGGCGCTGGTCTGATCGTTCCGATCATTCCAAGCCCGGGGTAACCAATCGATACGTACTGATCTAACGGGATTAGTTCGGCGGCCTCTTCCGTGGTGGCTAGGGAACTCCCCCCACCGTCTACTTCTTCCATCAAAGCTCCTACTCGTCCTGGTCCGTTAGCAATGGGGGCCGCAGCCATCGGTGCGACCCCGATACTCTGTTGCGGAGGCCTGTGAGGGCAATCATGGGCTAGATGTCCAGGCTGATGGCATGCATAACAGACGTTTAGGTTGCCTGCGACTCCTCCAAGAGCGGGTGCCGGGGCTAACCCTTGCTGAATCGGAGGGGCGCGCACCGCAATGGGCCGCATGTTTCTCATCATGGCTTCCAACCGAGCATTTTGCTCTCGATGCTCCTTTTTGCTTTCTTGAATTAGACTAACCAGGGTTTTGGTCAGCTCGAGTATGGCAGTCGATTCATTCGATCGTACGGGAGCCTCGAATGGGGGCGGGGGTGCCGTTCTTACAGGCGCTGGTATTACAGGGACGGGGACACTTGGGATCTCACTTGGAATGGGTCGTTTAGGGGCTATCTGTTCCATGTAGGTGACAGGACCCGACACGAACCCCATGTTTTTGAATTTGTTTTGCAGCGCAGCCAATTCAACTTTTGCCCTTGCGAGTTCGGACGAATCTCCTTCCCTAGAATAGTCCTCTCCTTCCAGGAAGTTCGCCACGAACTTTCGTTCCATGTCTTCTGCAGCGTCCATGATTTGCTGTAATGTATGATTGATGGGGGAAAACTGCATTCGTAGCTTCGCCCTTATTGTTCGGGTGCGGAGTCCGTCTTTGAACAGATCTCTTCCTACTTGCTCCCCTCGCTCAGTCTTTACAAACATTCGATAGAACCGGTTTCGATACTCCGCAACGGACTCGAGAGGTTTTTGCACTCGATCCTTGATCATGTAAAGCGCTTGTTCTGGGTGAACGTAATCAAATCGGTTCAGAAAGTCTCGTTCGAAGGTCTGAAGATCTGCCCACACATAGGTACTTAACCAGTGATGAGCGTCTCCTCCCAATCGAGCGGGGATGTTTACCTGAGCTTCGTTATCGTCATACTGCTGTGCTCGGAGAGTAGCCAACCATGCTCCTGCAAGGTGGTGCGCAGGGTCAAACAAATATAGATCAGGTGGCGTCATGGGAGCCCGTGCACGTGGGGTGGGTTGATTAGGATTCGTTCGATTGGCATTTTGTTGCGGGTTTGGTACATTGGCAGCCATGTGGGCTGCCCGTCGAGTAGTTGATCTGCTCCGACTGACGACAGGGTCGCGTCTATGCGCGTTCCAGGGGCGAGGCCGCCCTCGGTTAGCCAGATCGCCTAATTATCGTGCT